GCCCTGCCCTCCCTGCCTCCTCCTCCCTGCCTGCCTGCCTGCCTGCCTGCCTGCCTGCCTGCCTGCCTGCCTGCCTCTCCCTTTCCTCCCTCCTCCTCCCGCCCTGCCTAGCTCACGAGAAAGAGCTCTCCTTGCTGGTTGACACAAACCTAAGCAGGCGAGTTGGCACCTGAGGGTAAATGGTGCGGAGGGTGCGGAAAAGCTAAACAAACGGAGCAGTTCGAGATGGCGCTCAGGTAAGGAAGAGGTTGATAGCGAAAGGGTAAAAGTGTGGGCGAGGGAGTGAGGGGGGGAGGGAGGAGGGGGGAGGGGCTGGTAAGGGTGGGGAGGGATGGAAGGGAGGGGTGAGGGGGCTGGTAAAGGTGGGGAGGGAGGGAGGGGTGAGGGAGCTGGGGTGAGGGGGGTGGAGCTGGTAAGGGTGGGGAGGGAGAGAGGGGGGTGAGGGGGCTGGTAAGGTGGGGAGGAAATAGAGAAGGAGAGGGATGGAGGGAGGGAGGGAGGGAGGGAGGGAGGGAGACAGACAAAAAGAAAGATTAAGATAGAAAGATTGTTTCAATATGTACCAGGAAAACATAAGCAAAAAAAATCATGTCCCTTACTATAAGATTTAAATAATTAATAATAAATAAAAGAAATAATTATAATACTACTACTAATAATAATAATGATAAATAATTAAACAGAATAATACTAATAATCATAATCATAATAATCATAATAATAATAATAATAATAATAATAATAATAATAATAATAATAATAATAATAAAAAAAATAAATAATAATAATAATAATGATAATAATAATAATAATAATAATAAAACAAATAAACCTTTCTTCCTTCACCCACACTGTCCCCCCCCCCCGTTCTTCATGGCTAGCCAGTGTGTACGTGGGAAAGCTATGCACGTCCAGGCTGGGTTTGTGGGTACTGACCATGTGTACATAGCGAGTTACAGGTCGGTCGTGTACACACATGTCTGACAGGTGCTTGGGTGGGTGGGGGCGTGCGTTGTTTTTTTTGTTTGTTCTGTTCATGTGGCTGTGTGTTCGTGCGTGAGCGTACATTAAGGCCATGCATGTGGGGTGATGTGTGTGTGTGTGTGTGTGTGTGTGTGTGTTGTGTGTGTGTGTGTGTGTGTGTGTGTGTGTGGTGTGTGTGTGTGTGTGTGTGTGTGTGTGTTGTGGCTTTTCTGCATATATGTATATGTATGTATGTATGTATGTATGTAGTGTATGTATGTATATATATATATATATATATATATATATATATATATATATATATATATATATATATATATATATATATATATATACATATATATAATATATATATATATATATATATATATATATATATATATATATATATATATATATATTTCTTTCTTTTGTAATTCTCAACATATAATGTAATTTTCTCACCTTCATTTTCTCCCTTTTCCCTCACTTCAACTTACCCCCCCCCCCCCGTTATATTCCAACATGCTCAAAATCCTTAACACAGTGAACTCCCTGCCACCCACCTTCCTGCTTAATCCACCAAACTTAATATAAAGCCTTGATCCATTAAAAATCAACCAAACTTAATTTTTTTGCTTTTATAAAATAAAGAAATATCCATCAAACCTTTTTTTAGCTTTTATATAATATGGGATTGATCCATTAAAAAATCCTCCAAACATAATTTTTTTTAGCTTTTATGATATAAAGTAATGGTCCACTTAAAAAAATCTACCAAATTGCATTTTCTTAGTATTTATAATATAAAACCTTTATTTATTTTTAAAAATCCAAATTTCATTGTTTTTTAGCTTTTATAATATAAGGAAGGCATTGGTCCATTGTTTTAAAAATCCTCCAAACATAATTTTTTTGTTCATAGCACAAATCACTGATCCCTTAAAAAGTCTAAAAATATATATCTTTTACCTTTTATAACAAAGAGCATTGACCAATTTTTAAAAATCCACCAAATTTAGTAACTTATGCTCTAAAATGTCAAAAAAATATAATAATAACAATTCATGCTCAAAAAATATAAAACAATGCCCCATCAAAAAAAAAAAATACACACACACACACACACACACACACACACACACACACACACACACACACACACCACACACACACACACACACACACACACACACACATCTATCTATTATAATCTATATATATATATATATATATATATATATATATAATATATAATATATATATATATTATATATATATAATATAATATATATATATATATAATATACATATAAACATCGATGTATTCAAACAAACTAATAAATAAATACACAGAGCACCCCAATTCTCACCCGTCAGCTCATCGGCGTCGACCTTCCTGAGCACGAGGCAGGCGATGGCTTGCGCGGCCGGCACTCCCAGGCGGCGACGGAACCAGGACGAGTGGCGCAGGATCTGCTCGTGCGTCCAGCCTCGCCACGCCCGCAGGAGCCACGAGACACAGAGCATCACCCAC